TTACATTATACAATTAATAATAATTTTTTTCTTTGCCCAGTCTAATTCAATTTACTTCATTTAATAAATATCACATTTTGACATTTGCAAGTCTCATAAAATGCGCACCGTTTACTTTTTTCGCAGCTCCGTCAATCGTGCGCCATTTAACACCCTAATGGGTGTAAGCATCGCAAAGGTCAACCAACTTCATACTAACACCCTCTTTCAAAATTTCTCTTTCCTTGCTAGCGGATCCCAAATTTAGTGGCCCCATAAACAATGTAACGGTACCTGTGGGACGGGACGCGCTGCTCACGTGCATCGTGCACGATCTGGTTAGCTATAAGGTAGCCTGGCTGCGCGTCGATACCCAAACCATATTGAGCATACAGAATCATGTTATCACGAAAAATCATCGCATCGGCATCTCGCACACGGAACATCGCATCTGGCAGCTGCGAATACGCGATGTACACGAATCGGATCGTGGTTGGTAAGTGCATTGAAATATATGTATACGTATATATATATATATATGTATGTGTACATATATTTATTTTACTAAATAAATATAACTGAGATTGAAGGCAGAAAATCTTACACAATTTAAAATTTGTTCAATTCTTAAGCTTTCAGCCTTATATCAAGCATGAGGTCTTATCGGCTCTCACTATCTTACCCTCACTACTCTTACAATACTTTCACACAACTTTGTTTTTCGTTCGCGAATAAGATAAGAGTATATTGGTTTTACTCTTGCTGCCTATTCAGCTATATACATACATCTATAGACATATTTTCATATACATACATATTACCTCTTATTAAGAGTAACTCAAGTAAAACTATGTCTTCATAAAAAATTAGACTTCCTCTTGGGATTTACTTAAAATTATATTATTTCGATTTGTTGATTCAAATTTTCTATTTAGAATTATTTTAAAAATCTCTGACTTCTTCTTTGAACTCTATCTCTCCTTGTCTATCGCCCTACCACCCTCTCTTTCTGTAACTTTTTCTCTCATCTCTCACCCTGTCTCTCCCCCCCCCCCCTCTCTTCCTGCTCTCTCGCTCTCTCTTCCTGCGCTCCTTTAAGGTATATGTGCCAAATAAACACGGATCCGATGAAAAGTCAAATGGGCTACTTGGACGTGGTTGTGCCGCCGGACATTGTTGACTATCAGACCAGTCAGGATGTGGTGCGTGCCAGCGGCCAGAATGTGACGCTCACCTGCACAGCCACGGGCGTGCCACCGCCCACCATAACCTGGCGGCGCGAAGAGAACGCACCAATGCTCTGGCTGCCAGACAATGCCAACGGCGACGACGACGACGGCGAAATGAAGGAGAGAGAAGTCTACAGTGTGGAGTCACAAAATCTGACATTGTGGCAACTGCAACGCGAACATATGGGCGCCTATCTGTGCATCGCCTCCAATGGAGTGCCGCCAACGGTCAGCAAGCGGATAATGCTGGTGGTTAACTGTGAGCATCTGATAAGCAATTGGTGTTATTTGTGATTTTCTTAATCGTTCGATATTTTCTCCATAGTTGCGCCCACAATCTGGACGCGTTACGATACGATCTATGTGGGCGTGGGTCAGAAGCTAACGCTCGAATGCATTAGCGAATCCCAGCCAGCTTCCATTAATTTCTGGCTCAAAGATAAGGAGCTGCTGCAGGGTGGCACCTACGATGCCCGAACCGTTGATCATGTCCATCGGATTGTGATGCGGATCACAGTGCGACCTTTGACTAAGCACGATTTTGGTGAATACAAATGCATTGCAAAGAATGCATTGGGCGAGACAGAGCGCAGCATAACAGTGCATCGTGAGTAAAAGAGAAAATCGACTGATATAGCTCTATTTAATATATACGTATGCTTATTTATATACAAAAAAAAAAAAAAAAAACAATTATTTTCAGATAAAGCCAAAAAACATGTGCAGCACTCCCATCAAACTTCATCGCGCGACAATCAGTTTATTGTCATCGAAGGTATTTTTATAAATATAAATATTAGCTAAATTATTTAATTTCAATTTAATCATTTTCAGAGTATTTGGCAAATAGAGCGTTCATTAGTTGCCATACAAATATTATAAGCTATGCGTGTATCATAATCGTCAATTATTTTACTAAAGTTTTGTGTTTGTAAGCAATGAAATAAAACAATAAATAAATAATATATATATATACGTATATATGACTGTATATACATAAACGGTTTTATTCTACTTAAAGTTACGCATTAAAGTTCATATTTCGTAAGACAATAAATAAATTATCAATTTAATAAGCTGCCTCTACAAATAGTTTTATTATGCTTTTGAATTGTTACAAAATGCTTGGCATAATATATAATACTCCTTGAAAGGGTAAACCAAAGAGACGCAAAAACTAACGGTTTATCAAAACGGTTTACTCACTTATTAACACGCAATTACTCTCGGTCCATCTCGCTCTTTCTCACATGTTGAACGAATGCGTAAAGTATAAGATTTTCTCACTTTAAGTAACTAAGCTGAATTTACAAACACAAAAAAAAAAAAAAAAAAAAAAAAAAAACAGCATTGGTTTTAAATTATATTTTTCACTTTTCATACAGACATACGCCAGCGATTATTATATTAGCACTTACAACCACTTTTCAAATGCTCGCGAAATACACTCACTACTACGCGATAGCCGTACTTACACTAATGCACACGAAGAGTGTCGCGGAGTGACAGACACGAGTCCCGCATTTATAATTGCGATCCACACAAATCGCTCATTGCCTGGTGTCTGCAACCCTGCTTAAAATTAATTTCTCTTTCAAAACAATCACAGTTACGCACTGGTTTCGCTACACAGCAGCAACTTCTTTTCATTACATAGTCTAATTAATAGCCATTTTTGAGGGTGAGAGCGAATATGAGACTTAGCCATTTGTATTAATTAATTAATTAATAATTAATGTACACAATCGTAGATTTTTTTGCGCATGGCTAACCAATTAAGTGCAATCAACATGAACACTGTTCACATACTGGATTTGTATAACGGGATCAAAAGCATTTGGAATAATCGAATCTAAGCTAGCATCCACAGCTCTCTGGGAGAGCAAAGTTACAGCAGAGTATTTACAAATTATCTTGCCTCTCTTAGCATCCACAATGCGACTGCACTAATGTGAGCGTACCATCTACAATGCTCACTCATTTTGCGCACATAACGGGATCAAAAGCATTTGGACCAATCACATTTGAGCATGTACAATGTATGTAATAGCATCCATGGCACGTTCGCTGGCTAAAAAAGGCAACAAAAGCTCATTTATAAATTATTGAGCCCCTCTTAGCATCCACAATTCCTACTCACGGTGCTAATACACTACAAATCGGAAGATCTATGCAATTACTCGCATAGAATGTAAATTTTTACTTTTTAATAATATAAACAGAAATTTTTAATTTTTGTTTGTCAGTTTTGTAGCATGACTTAAATTATTATTTTTATTATTATTATTATTTTTTTTTTTTCTAATTTAGTTTATAGTTATACATCGAGTGTTTGTTCAAGGGAAAGTAAATTTAGGAAATGAATAAAAGTAAATTTAAACTTTTGAATAAAATACAATAGTTTAAGCGTTTTCTTTGCTGTTCGAGACAACATTTAAATTGTTAGTTTGTAAAATTTCGCTACAATTAGTTTAAGCTGTTTTTTTTAAATATATGTATATACAATCGTGTATATTTAGCTAGAGCTTTAACGCTTATATATATAAACATAAATTGAACTAATGTGTATAACAATTGGTGTCAAGTTAGCTAAAAAATTAAGGTTTTATCAATTGTTTAATAAATTAAAATTATAAATATATATGCGTAGATACATATATATCAATGTACATATATTTATGCTAGCTATGAGCGTGTCGAGGTAGGCTGAACAATCTTTGTTAGTTGGATTTGCTTAAAAAGTAGGTGTGTGTGTATGTATTTGTATATGAGTGTGAGTGTGTATGTGTGTCTGTCCATGTTGTATGTGCTAAACCTAAATCTCAAAACTTAAACACAATTAGAGCGGCCTCTCCTTCCCCCATCCACATTCTTTCAACGTCTTCAACTTGAGCTGCTCCGCCCATTAGCCAAATTTGTGGGCGTTGCTGCCATATTAGGCACTTGAATGGCCGGTGGCGGCGTGGCACCCTTGGCCTTGGCCAGCAGCTGCCGCTGCTCATAGATCTCGTTCACGAGCTTCTTGACGAACGGATGATTAAATTTGCCCTCGGTGGAGTCGAAGAACTCCTGATGCTTCAGCAGGCAATTGTCACGTTTCTCATACTCGAACGCTTGCATTACCATGTCCAGACGATCCAGATCCTTAACGAACTTGGACTCGGGACTCTGCGCATTTTCATATTCCTACAATAGAACATTTTAGAACATTAATTGAATTTACGCCCAGATGTTCTTGCATTTCCTCTTACCTCGAAGAGCTCCATAATGCGCTTGCCCCGCGGCTCAATCAGTTTGCAAATATCCTCCATGGCCTTGAATTCGAGCGCACGTTTGTCCTCCTTGGAGACACCGCAAAAGGGCGTTATGTCACCCACCAAGCTTTCGGCCAGATCATGCACCAGCGCCAGCTCCATGCATCGTATCTGATTCAGACCCTCGCTGCCATCTAGCAGAAAGGTCAGCATGCTCATCCGGTACATATGTCCAGAGATCGACTCACAATCGTTCACATCCCTCAGTACCCATCCGGTGCGTTTGGTGTGCTATCGAAACAGAAAGAAAAGACATCAATTAGTTTCAGTTGTAAGTTAAATATTTATAAAATTGTAATTTATTAATAAT